CTAGAGATTGGAGAAGGCTAAGAAAAATCACATCAACGGACTTATGAATGAGTTAGATATTTTGGAAAAGGCTAAATGTGTTTTAGGTCTGTCTCTTATTGATAGAGAAGGAAAAAATGATTTTAAAATGGTGTTAGCCAACAAACTCAATCTATAAGCCATCTCATTGAAACAAAAAGCTAGAAAGAAGTGGCTCAAAGATGGTGACAAAAACAATCAATATTTCTATTGTCTTACCAACTACCGTATAAGTGTTAATTATGTGAAAGAACTCCTTATTGGAAATACCAAAATTGAGGGTAACTCAGAAATAAGAGAATGCATGCATTTATTCCATAACAAAGTCACTTAAGAGTGCTCCTGGAGACCGAAATTGAATAATCTAAGTTTTAATAGTTTAGATGATGTGGCCGCCTCTCAACTGGAAACAAAATTTATGGAATATGAGATTTATGATTGCCTCAAAAATTGTGATGGTGATAAAGCGTCGGCCCTTGACAATTTTATATAAAATATTTTCAAGTATTTTGGAGTGTGTTTTTAAGGATGATATTTTGGAATTTTTTAAAGATTTTCATTAGAATTCTTCGTTTGTCAAATCAATTAATTCTGCCTTTATGGTTTTGATTCCAAAAAAGAAAAATGCATCCAACATTAAGGATTTCCGCCCTATTAGTTTGGTTGGGTGTATCTACAGACTACTCTCCAAAGTGTTGATAAATAGATTATCTAAAATCATCGGCTTGATCATCAGAGAAAATTAACAACCTTTTGTTTATGGGCATCAAATTACTGATGCTGTCCTTATGGTAAATGAAGTGGTTGATGATGTTGTTAGAAATAAAAAAAGAGGCATCTTATGTAAATTAGACATGGAAAAGACTTTTGACTGTGTCTTTTGGGATTTTATTGATCATATGTTTGAGAATCTCGGATTTGGATTCAAATGGAGATGGATCAAGGAATGTCTTACTACCACATGTTTTGCTGTGATGATCAATGGTGTCCCGTCTAAATTCTTTAAAGCTTCCAGGGGATTAAGGCAATGTAATCCCCTCTCCCCCTTATCATTTATTATTGTCATGGAAGCGCTCAATAAACTTGTATTGTAAGGTAGAGCCTTAGCATTATTAAGAGGTATCTTTGTGGGAAAAAATGGCCATCAACTCGAATTTTCTCACTTATTCTTTGTGAATGACATTTTTTTTGTTGGACCAATGTCACATTTTTTTTGTTGGACCAATGTCAGGAAAATTATTCATCTTAGATGCATTTTACTATGCTTTCAAGCGGTATTTGTCCTCAAAATCAACATGAAAAAATCTGAATTGATTATGTTTGGGGAGAATTTAGATAGTCTTCTTGCTAAAACGCTTGGCTGCAAACCTGCCCAACTTTCTTTAAAATAGTTGGGTGTTTCTCTTGGTGCTAAACATAAATACAGCAGGAGTTGGGAGCCAGTTATTGATGCGTTCCAAACAAGCTGACATGTTAGAAAAGTAAAGATCTGTCTAAAGGAAGGAGACTAACTTTAATCAAAAGTATCTTATCCAACCTTCTTATCTACTATCTTTCAGTGCTCACTGTACCCAAAAATGTTGCTAAATAACTTGAAGTCATTCAATATCACTTTTTTTGGGGAGATGATGATTCTATTGGAAAGATTCACCTGTTTAACTGGGAATAGCTGAAGAAGCCGAAGAAAGATGGCGGTTTAGGTATTAAATCCATTATTGGTCTCAACAAAACTTTACATGGTAAGTGGATCTGGAGGTTTTGGAATATAACAGTTTTTGGAAGGTCATTGTGTGCAAATGGTTTGGTAGCAATGTGTATGACCCTTCTAGTATGGAGAAGAGTACGTTTGGTCTCAACCTATGGAAGAGTATGTGGAAATCTAGTAAACTGTTTCTAAACAATTTCAGATGGATGGTTGGAAAAGGTGACAAAATCCGGTTCTAGCAGGATGTTTGGTGCAGCAAAGTGAATCTGGAAAACCAATTTCCTCACATTTATCCTCTTGGAAAATGTATATGGAGTCAGTTCTTCTCTGTCTTGGAATGTGACTGTCACCAGGAATTTGAAAGATTGGGAGGTAGAAAAATGTAAAAACCTTCTCCGACTTCTAGCTATTGTCAAAATTGGTACTGAAACTGATAAGTTAAGCTGGAATTTATGCAAGAATTCCTCTTTTTCTGTTTAATCTCTTTACAGAAATTTGATTGACAGCAATTACTCTATCTGTGATTTTCCTTACAAAATCATCTGGAATCTTTTCGTTCCTCCCAGAATTTCTGTTTTTGCTTGGGAAGCTGCTATGGGTTCCATTCTCATGTTAGACAACCTCATGAAAAGGGGTTTTGTTTTGGCAAATTGGTGTGAATTGTGCAAGCATAATATGGAATCTTGAAACCATCTTCTCTTTTTGTGCTCAATTTCCCATGAACTATGGATAATGATTTACAAGCTGCTTGGTATTTCCTGGGTTATGACTGAATCTGTCAAAGGCGAATTGCTAACTTGGGAAGGCCTCAAAACGTGTAATAGGTGGCATGGGTTTATTCCCTTAACAATACTTTGGATTATATGGAACGAAAGAATTGTAGGATTTTTGACAAATTTTGCCACTATTAAAGATAGGTGGCTTCATTTTTTTGGCTCCATCATCCTTGGTCATGACCCTAACTCTTTTGATGATTAAGGTTTCATTGTAAATATACTTACCGATTTGTAAGTACTTATCTTTTTGTACATGGGTTTCGCCCACTCGGTGTTCTATTTTATACTATTACTCACTTTTATCTTCAAAAAAAAGAATCAGGCCCAAACTGTCTAGGAAATAGATTACATTGGCAATTATTAAATATAGCATTATTCAAATCTGTTGATAGTTTTATACTTGATTAGAATAACACAGATCTTTGGATAATTTTACTCTGCCTTATCCTATACCCTGTCGACCTGATATCACATGCAAAATAAATTTTTATCTTGTCCTATCTAGTATCATGAGCAAACACTAAATTTTTCGTTTTTTCCACGTGCAGAATTAGTAACTAATTCTGTTATGTTTTTCTCTCTATCTTTTTCTTTTTAATTTTTTCTTCTCCATTTGAATGCATATGTTTAGTTGGTCATATAAATCTGTGTGTTAAATTTAAAAATCAATCTTGAATCTATTGAAACGCCTGCGATTATGGATATAAAATTTTGTCAAATGTTTTATATGATCTGGGTAAATCATCCATAAATTTGTCATTTTTTCCAATATTTTTGGCTCAAAGCTATATTCAGATATATTCCCTAAAAAAGAAAAGGCTATATTGAGAAATAAACAGTAAATACTTGGGAGCCAGAGCATCTCTGAATTACCTGATCTCATCTGCACTATGTTATTCCAGAAGTTAATGTTATCAAGGCTTAATTTTCTGAACTAAGCTGGTTCTGAACATATGCATAATTTTTTAAAAATCTTTGTCTACCACAGTTACAGATTTTTGAAGGGTCTTCCGGTATTATTTTTAAATTTGGAACTTGCCGAGTAACACTTTGCAAGTGAAATATAATTTTTGGTTCCTAATTAATCCTTAAGCTAGTAACAGTATGTGCACTTCTTTTTTTTTATTTGCAGAAACGAGCTATGGATGCAGAGCAAGAAACTGTGAAAGCTTATAAGCAGATTGACAAATTGAAAAGCCAACATGAAAATGAAGTTAACACTCTCAAACAGTTCTATGCAGAGTCTCGTTTACCCAAAGATGCAATACATTCTGCTTGTACAAATTATGATGTGGCGAAATATGATGTGGAGGAGACTCACAACAGTCCAGGTGATCAACGGTGGAAAGAGGAATTTGAGCCATTTTATAATGAAGATTGTGAATTATCAAAGCTCACAGAACCCTCTTCATGGTTCTCTGGGTATGATCGATGCAACATATAGGGTAAAACTAGTAATTGAAATTACATAATGTATGTATTACTAAGTTTCTTTCATATTGTCCAAAATCCTAGCCAGGTTCAACTTGCCATTGGCGTGCCAGCATCTTTCCTATCAGCCGAGGACCAAACACACCTTGGTCTTCCTCCCCTTATTGTGCCCTGTATTGAATTCAGATTGTTGCATAAGAGTTGAATGATTATATTCTTTTTAACTCACCCACTCTTTGAACACCTCTCATTTGGTTATTGTCCTACTTGCTTTCGAAAGTATTAGATGTTTTCTTTCAGCCATATTCGTTATAGGAGAGAGGAACGCCCAGGGGCTTGTATACGTGTATACCCTCCCTGACACTTAGAGATCCTGGACCTGGTATGTATTTCTCTGTCCATATTTACTCCCATACTTTGAAAATTGTGGTGCAGAGAGGAGGAAAAAGTGAGTAGTAATGCTTTTTTTTTTCCTTTCATTTTGTATTGAAATGGGGTTGGGTTTGAAATGGATATGGTGGACCCTGGTTGTGGATACCCATGGACGTGAAAACAGAAACCTCATGAGTTAGATTTTCATTTATATGTTTTGGATTAAATGTCAACAGGATAGGGGGCAATCTTCAAATGGATACATTCCCTCTTCCCCCTCTTTTTAATATATTGTGTAGGTAAAAACAGACAGAACTTACTTGCCTTTGCATCCTCCTGACTCGAGTATTCTATCTTGTCATATGGAGACCATAAAACAAGGAACTTGTGGTCTTGTCTTCCCCCTGACATGAATCTATCCCTACTTGTGGACCATTTTTCTACACTTATTGCATATGGTTCCGCCTTGTTGCAATTTAAATTGTGGTATTTTTATCTGATTCATTCATTTTTTTTATTTATCAAACATTGTTTATTTTATTAGAAGATATCTATATGCACACATTTGAATTTCTTTGGTTGAGGGTGCGACCAATCTAAGGAAACAACAATAAAATAAGTTTTCAAAGTTTCAAACCCTATCCATACGTTACCCTTATTTTTATTATTGTTATTATAATTTATCTCTTTGAGTTTTATTAGAAGATTAGGAAGAGTGGCTGCCTGCCATTCCAGGTCTGTGAGAGAAATGGGTGTGAAAGTGACTCCAAGTTATAGAAGGAACAAGGAAACAGTTTGAAGATATATAGACCCTGTTTGTGGAGAACAATACAAGCAAATCATCTAATGGTATAATGCTGCAGAATTTTTCCCTCTTACACGCGTCCCACATCTTTCTGAGTACAAGCAAACTAAAACGATGTCGTTAAAATTCATAATGGTTCTAATTAAATTTCTTTATGATATTAATTTTTATTATTTCATAATTTCTAATTAAAATAAATATAAATTTTTTCTTTAAAAAAAACTTCTGCAAGCAATTTATTTACTCCCAAGGATAAAAGTTGAATTTAGTTTAAACTTTAATTCTAGAAAATAAAAATTAGAGTATAATACAAAATGACAGAAATTCAAATAAGAATTATTTTTAATTTTGGATTATGGAATGAATTTCCTTTAAATGCTGAAAATTGATATAACCAGCAATTAGTAGAATGCATATTGGATTGTTTTAAATAAATATAAATTCCAAATAAATCTCACGTGGTTTAAATCCTTGTTTATTCTTTTACTTGAGGTGAAACTTGGAAAAGCGACTTAGTTAGAGACGTCGTGTAACTGTGATGGAAATTTTTGTGACAGCTCGGTGATGGGAATACACCCCACCTAAAGTTTTAATCATCATTAATTATAACCCCACAAAAACAAGCATTCACCAATAACCATCAATTTATCCTAATCTTTCTCACCGTGGACACGGATCTCCGTTAATGGGTTGCCGGAGTTACTGACGGAAAATATTGAAGAAAATAACCTTTTCTTTCTCCGAATTAATGTGAATTTAAGGGGTCAAAAAATAAATTAGACAAAATATTTTGAAAATAAAATTATAGTTTTACCACTTTGATGTAATTATATTCACATAAAATTTAATTTGAGTGCGTCCTAAAAATATTATTGTTGAAAATTTCGTAAATTTAAATTATATATTTATTTGCACAAGTAAATACCAATTAAAAATAATAAACTAACATGATTAGATGATGTTTCTTATAATCATTAATCAAAACTTTTTTTTTTTTTTTTCAAACAAATAATACGAATCTTAATTCTACATAAGTCTCCTTATAATCATTAATCAAATGATGTTTCTTTAAGAATTGGGCAAATCTATTTATTACTTACACTTTTTTAAACTAAAAAAAAAAGCCATTTAATTGAACTTTCTAGATACTGTCAAAATCAAATTCATCTACAAACAACAAAAAAGATAATTGGCAACGAGAAAAAGAAAGAAAGTTGATGTAATTACAACCCACCAAACTTGATCTCTACATGTTTTTCTTTTTTGTTGAATAATAACATGTAAAACGACAGTAAGCAAGAAACCCAACTTGCATTCTTAATTTCACCTAACTACTTGAAATTAGTTATTCTCTGTCAACTTTCCTTTTACATTAGAAAAAAATTAAATATAATTTATAACTAATTGAAATTTAATTATTATGTAATATTTTTTTTTTTACTTATAAACGTAATAAAATTATTGATATTTAACTCAAAAATACACTTATAAATTAAAATTTTATTCTTATGGAATCAATTATTATTTTTTAATATATTTAATTGGATTATATATAACTAATATGTATTTTGTGTATGTGTCATATTCTTAATAGTGACTAATTCTTAACATTTTTATTAGATTTTTGTCACATCATTCATGCTACTAAGTGCAGTATGGACAATTGGTTTGGTAATTGTCTAATTTTGTAAAATTTTATTTTTTTATAAAAAAATTATAAGTTTGAATTTTTGGTAGGACAATAAATTTTATAGAATTGTGGCTATACATCAATTATAGATGTAATTCTTGGACCCAAAATTTGATTCGAGATCAATTTTAATAATTTAAAAATAAATAAAAGATTTATTTATAAATTAATTTAATTTTATTTTATTAAATTATTAAAAAAAATATATTAGGAATGTAATTGAAAATAATTTTTTTTAAAAAAGATAAAATTTAAATTCGGTGAGTGTTTTTGAAAGAAAAATTAGAAATACTACGTCAAAATACAAAAAGAAAAAATTTGACAACGTAAGACAATCCAGTTAGCAGCTCCGACAAACCGGATCACGTTACCTAGTAAGACATGCTGATGTCGACGCCACACGGGAGGCCACGGAGGTGATCCGCATGCCAATGATTGGACGGCTCATGATCGATCCCGCATGCGTGAACGTCTCAAATTCTTTATCTCTTTAGGCGCAATCGGACATACGAGATCAATCGTAATGAACGGTTCAGATTCGTTTCATCCTTATGCGTGATCGGACGGACAAGATCAATTGTGATGAACAGTTTAGATTGACGCGAGATGGAGTATGAGGACGACCAGTTAATTGTTTAAATTGGATATTAGATTCACGAGTAAAGGGACATCTTTATGGATCCTTAAGGGTACCAGTAAGCAGGTAAGAAAGGAAAATTGTCGTCTTTTATTCTCTTATGCATAAAAATAAAAAGTGGTATGAATAGGAATATTCATAGGTTGTTTTTGAAAAAACTCATTACGTAAGTATGGAATAAACGATTTTTTTTTATATTGAATGAATTTACTCAAATTAAGAGTTACATTAGTTATTTTATGATTTTTACTAATATTCAAATTTTTGTATCTGTGATTAGTGTGATATTCTTAATGGGTTAGTGTAGCTCATCATTTCATTAATTATTTCAGATTAAGAAGACCAATATTCATATCCTGATCAGTAAGAGGGTCGTGAGTAGTTTAACATCTGAATTCTCTTTAAATTATAGTGAAGTTTGTTTTATAATGCTTATTTATTACTTCTTTTTTATATTTTTTTAATACCATTTGTCTGTTAGAATAAACATTTTTATAATCCTATTTGACATTTTAAATTATTGTGTGAGGAATGTAAACTTTAATTCTGTTAAACGCATTTACATTTAAATTACAGATTCATTTATTTTAAGGTTTCGAACTTTTACAATAATGTTATATTTCAAAAAATATACACCATTAATTAATTTGTCTTTTTGAAATAATAATTATAATTAATTATTTAAAATCAATTATATAGTATATATAAAATACAAAAAATGATGTATTGAAGAGTCAAATATATACATATATATATATATGTATGTACATATGTAAAGATATGAGCATCAATTAAATTAAAAATTAATTATAAGAATTTGGACAATTTGGCAACATAAATAAACCCTTTATTATATTTATTTGAATTGGCTGTTGGTAAATGGATTTGGTGGAATCCAATCTAGATTTTTGTTAACTGTTGACATTATTATTTTTGCTTTCACATCACTGTCAAAACGATACCGTTGATGAAGGCGGGTACCAACCACATCTTGGTACCTTGATTTGAAGGTCATGAAAAAATACATATATATATATATACACACGCACACACACACGCACACACGTACACAACACAAAGCGTACAGAGGTCAATCTGATTGGTTGGCAAAAGAATATTTTTTATGATTTCTTTATATATATATATATGTCTAACAATAATCTTAACGGCAATAATTAAATAAAAATTGTTTACTAAACACAATTAACAAGCTTTGATTAATCACTCTCCACTACATCAATCCACCATAGCTTGTAAATGGTTATGAACCATCTCAATCTAGTTTTGTTCAATTGATATGAGACGTTTCATGACCATAGCTTGTCACGTTATAGAGAGTATTGCAAAATAACATACTATAATATAATCTTTCCTTTACTTTTTATATTAAAACAAACAAAAAAAAATAGCATAGTAGCGTAATAATTAAAATTTTTATGTTTTAAGTACGAATTTGATTAAAAACATAAAATTTAATTATTTTAAAAATGTATTACGAAATAATAATAATAATCTAACTTATTTAATACGAATATATTAATAAAATTAAATTAAATTTCAGTAATTTATTTTGTTTATGTACAGATAATAAAAATACTTAATGACAATTATATTATATTAGTTAAAATAGTCACAAAGAACTAAAAAGTTAACCTAGTGATTAGTTAGAATATGTAAAAAAAATATATATATATATTTTGTGATTATTAGTTTACGTGTACTAATAATTTGAAAAATTATTCAAAGACATCTTGTTTTCAAAATATGTAGTAGAGTTCAAATTATTTATTATTAATAATTTAAATTTTAATTTTAAAATAAAAGTTTTTATTTTTTTCAAAAAAATTGTTAAAACTAAATTGAAGCGTTATAAATTATTTGTTCTATTCTTTTAAAAATTTGATTCTATTAAAAATTGTACAAATTGGACTTTTTTTTTTGAAAGCTTTTTTCATTGAGAAAACAAAAAAGAAAAAGAAATTTCTTTTAATTATCTTCAAATGGTGTCTTTTGACACATGAAGTCCACTACTACTTTGTTCTTATTTTTCCACTTATCCACTAATAGATTTTATTTCATATATATATATATATATATATATATATATATATATATATTTTTTTTTTTTAAAAAAAAAAGTTCAATTGATACCCCAGCAAGTCATTGCTAGCTCACTTCTGCCAACCTGTGCTTTTGATGCTTTTTCCTCAATCCCATCTTTTAAAAATACATGCATTTAATTATGTTAATAAGAGTTCAATTTATTCTCAATTACTTGAAAAAATAAATAAATCTATTATTGATTATACTTTTTTAAATTTTTTTAAGAAAATTTAAATTTTAATCTGAATAATAATTTAAATTGTGACATTTAATAATTTCTAATTCTAATATCAGAAAATTAATAATATAATTAAAAATTTTAAATATAATCAAAATGAAATTTTACAGCAAATAGATATTTCACTAACTATTTAATTAAAATATATACGTGTAAAATTTAAATTGCAATCATATTAACTTTAAAATTTTTTATTATAACACTTACAAGATTATACTTTAAAAAAAAAA